GTGTGTGTGTGTGTGAATGGGTGAAGCGCTTTGGATAAAAGCACTATATAAATGCAGCCATTTACCATTTTATTTAACTCACTGCAGTGCTGGATTACATGCAGAGTTATTCACTGGAAACTGGTGAATTACACTTGTTGGGAAAATAACATATAAAGAGGTTTACTATAATAATTTTTTTTTGCAGGGTGGAGTGTTGAAAGACAATTATTGCCACTGACTTGTGCTGTTTGATCCTGTATTGGAAACCACTTTATTAGATTCCCTGTTGTCAGGGTTACAAACATGGCAATGACATTTTTAGGGCTAAGTGATACAGCACAGATGTTTATAATCAAGAAGAAAATTACCTCGAGGCAATTATTGGCTGTTGAAGACTGTCAGTGTGCGATGAAGATGAAGCTGTTTTCTTGGAACAACATTTTACTCAGACTTGTCAGTCCATTTATTACCAATTACTGCTAAAATGTGTTTGTGAAAGGGCAAAACTTGCCATCAAAACTGATTTAATGATTTCCATTGAGAAATGCAATTTCAAATAGTAACATTGGTGAACAAGATCAACGAATTAGTATGAAAGTAGAGTAGTTTATTATTATTTAAAGCAGCGTGTTATGAATTGTTTTTCCAGCATAACAACCGATTAACAATCCATAACAATTTCTCCAGTTGTCCGTTGACCCCTGCTCTGATTATTCAGATCATTCTTGAGGGAATAATTGTCAATATAAACAATTTAAATTAAAACCACTGAAAATAGAGACATACACAAGAAAAGCGAGCAGACATGATGAAATGAATAGCAGAGAGAAACCACTGATTGTCTCTTTCGTAAGAAGTCGATGACTGTTTGGAAAGCGGACAGCCATAATGGCTGGGGAGTCTAAGGCTGATATCACAGCTCTGGCTTCTCTATGACACAACACAGATAACTGAACCATACGCATGGGACCGAGCAGAGCAGATGCACAGCTGATTACCACCAGCCTGATTGCACACAGATCAGGCAGTTTTCCTGGTGCATGCTCCAAGTGGAGTGAGGCGAGCGATAGCAGACAGACATTACCAAACGCAGTCAGAGGGGCCAGCCAGAGGGTGTGTGGGAACACAGCAGTGAGGTGACGGCTGCACTCGTGTATTTAGTCAGAAGCACAAAACACACGTACAAAGAGTATACACACACATCTGCACATGTACAGGAGAAGCGACGCATATTGACCTGCTTCCAAAACACATTAACATAATCTATTAAAAAACATGAGCACATTACAGAGACATTTATACATAAATTTATACTCAACAAAGTGGTTCGTTAAGGGAAAAGAATGTTTCAGGCTTTTTGGGGCAATCTGAGAACTCAGTTACACATAAAACTTTCATGACTTCTTTGCTTTTGTTCCAAAAACAAAATAAAACAAAGCCTTTGTTTCCTGGTGATTGCCTAGTTCTTTGCAAGCCTTTCATTTGGCTGGATGGAGGAAGGGTAATTGTGTTTATAAACACGTCTTAAGCTCCCAGTAACTGGACAAATGTGTGACTGACCATTTCATGCATCCCTAAGGTAGCTCATAAATACACTAGACATGGAAAAAAGAAGATAAAATGACAGGGTTGTTTTTATATTTTTTTTCAAGCAACAGTGGAAATCTCTCCATAAGCCAACACACATTACATGAGTACGGAGGCCTGAGGATGACTGCCTTTGACACAAGCTGGACTTTGCATAAGCCTCATATGGACTGACTTGTGCACTGGAGCAGAACAGACAGAGTGACAGTGATAATGCTGCAGTCGCTGGCCACCGAGCCTTCAACTGAAAGCAAACCAGTTCAGGGCCCAAGTTCAGCCAGCCAGCCTAACACAGAACAGGGCTCAGGCTTCCAGCTGCATCAAGAATAACAAGCTGTGAAGCCTTGGCTCTGTGTGTGTGTGTGTG